CTGCATACCAAGTGTGGTAAGCCAGAAGAACACCCTTTGCTGCCATCCTTTGAAGTTAGCTCCAGAAAATTTTCCCGGTTTCTCTGCCGGTGGAACAGCAGTCCGGCTTGACGAGGCTATCGTCGTTGCCGCAATAGTCGCAGAAGAATTTCCGTTATCAATTGCCATTTCTCACTGTAAAGAACAGAAGAGTTAATTTAATGGCAAAATCAGAACAGTAAACAATACTGTTATTAACAAAAACAGTATGTATAATAAATAAAACCAAAGTTTTTATATACTGTTTCACAGAAAAACGATGAAGTTTTTATGTTCTTCAAATCGTTTTACGAATTTCAATACTCTGATGAAGTTTTTTATATCTTCAAATCAGAATAGTAAAATTCAGAAGGAGTAAAAAATCACACAGGTTTTAATCTCCACAAACAAAATACAGAATATATAAAAAAAATTAATTTTCTTAAGAATGTTATAATTCTGTATTGCTGTAATAAACAATTAAACTTTCTGAAAAAACAAAACAGAAAGTTAGTAATACTTGTTTAACGAAATAGATTCTGGAAAATAAAAAAAAAGTATAGGAATGAATTGAGCCCACTTAATACACAGTGTGTCCTTAAGAAAATTATTCCCCTCAAGTACCCGAGGTGCTGCAATATATCCTCCCAGGATAGATCGATTTAACTCACCCGTGTATTGGTACCAAAAACTCTGATGAACTGCGAACCACTCAATGGTCGTAAAACACACTGGAAAATATTGTGCAGAAGAGAAGAAGAAGAAGAAGAAGCTCAGAAAATTTTCGTAAGGAAAAATTCTGGGATTCAAACTCTATTTATAGAGTTGCTGGAATTGTTTCTGAAAAGGTTTACAACCTTTCAGAAACAGCCATGGCTGTTGGAAAAGGGGTGTTTGAAATATTGCGGAAAAAATATATTTAAAATAATAGGGGAAAGAAAACGGGCCTGACCGAACAAAAAGATTAATCAATCAATCGATCCGAAGCCGAAGCCGAAGCCGAGCCGAGTGAGCGACGACGACGACGGCGCGAGGCTTGCCTTTTTCTTAACTCTTTTAGAGCTAGAAGAAGAGCAATTATATATATACCCATCAAAAGCCTTTTCTTCCTCCGATATGGGACAATGTCCCTTTCCCAAGGGAAACTCAAATATTTTATTTTTTCTCCATTTCTCATTCACCTTCTTTAAGCTACACAAGCTTAAAATCCCAACATTAGCTAATCATGGGATTTCCTTCTATAATTAGAATTATACCATTAGTGGAATTCCTTTACTATTTAAAGGGGGTTCTAATCATTTGTAACACACATTGTTCACAGATATCAAAGCAATATAATTCTCTTTCTCGTTTATACTATTGTTCATCAGCTTGCTATATTTTAATGTTTCTGGCATCAACCAGTTCGAGGGTATCCAAACTTGAGGGCTGAGTTCCATTCTAACACTGGTTTGCTTTATTTTATAGTTCATTTCTGTTATTAATCTTCATATTTATCAATTGGTATTAAGTAAAATTACGTGTCCTTAGAACCACATTATAAGTTTAATTGTTATCCAATTTTAAGGGTAAACAAGGTAAGAGAAGGAAGCCAGATGCAATGTGCTCCATGATTTGCTTTGAGCCCAATTTTTTCATTGCTTCAAGGATAAATATCTGGACTGGATGAAGCTAGCTATAGCTGCAGGTAGAGTTTAACTTCAGTTTATGGATATAACCAAATTATGTGCTTATCATGTTATATATTTTATGGAAATCCAATTTATGGATATGCACTTTCAGATTTCATAGATCAGTTAAAAATCATAGTTCCTCCTCCATGATGCAATTACAACTTAAAGTAGGGAATAAATATGTTTTAATTTCTAATTATGTGACTATCTACACACTGTTTAACCATCTATTTGTTGCGTCACAGTAGCATAATTTTGTACTTTAGCAATAGTTTTCGTTGCTGGAAAAAAAGAGAGGCAACGTGTGTTGAGGCTACGATAAAGTCCTTCCTCCCTAATCAAAGTTTGTTTCTTCGCTAAAAAGCGATGCACTTTTCATAATACAATTTCATAAAATTATTTTGAAAGTTGTAAGTGCATGCACATAAACTTCATGCTGACCAAGATGGTTTTACTTTTTGAGCATAATTTGCTCATACATATATTACATGGACATTTCTTTTTTGAAATATTACATGGACATGACCATTAGATTCCAAAAATAAGAACGTATAAGTTAAAACTTTTAGCACATTCAAGGAATTAAAGAAAACTAAAGGAAACGAGAAAAAAAGGTTTTATGGTGTAATAACACGTCTATATAACTGTTCTTGATAGCATACATATTATTTTTCTAGAGTAGGTGAGATGGAAAATCTCCTAAGCCAAGGAAGCCATTTATCTTTTTCTCTTTTTTTTCTTCAAAATTTCATCATTATTCTGTTTATCTCATTTTAAAATATTTAGTGCCTAAATAAGTTACTCAATCAAAGGATAAGGCATTTAAGATAAAGAAAGATGAAAAGCCCTCAGTTTCTAAGACTTTTATTTTCAAGAAGTCTTACCTTTTTGTAACAAAGTATAAATTTCTATCTTGATTTATCGAGGTATTGCAACCTCTCGATAGACTATGAAATTTTCCATTCGATTACCAGCAAATTGGCATTTTATTAATTGGGAGTTTGTTTGTACTTTATGTTTAGGGGACATCGGAACGCGAAAGGATTTAGTATATCGGTTTTATGTTTTGCTTTTGAATCCGCGAACTCTCATTGCACCAACAGGTACGAGTGTCTGCGTTTTGAGAAAATTATTGGCTCTTCTTATCTTTTGTTTGGCTGTTGAGAAAATTGTGGAAAGAAATTTGATTTTAAATGCCTATTTTTGATTGGTCTATAAATAAATCTTATCCTTTTTTATATACATTTTTCATGTGTGATTTTGAAGAAATAACTAAATTGCTTTCGGATTTTAAACTGCAAATGTTTGCCGAAAAAGTTTGTGTGAAAAAAGTAAACTTTGAAACTGGTTGTTCTGCATGACCTTCTATGAGAATCAAAGACAATAATGTTCTGCTATTCATGATTTGAGAGATGTCGTCACAAGAAGTGTTATAGGACTATTATTCTGTAATTATTTCTTTAAATCAACCAAATGAAGGTTAAGACTTTTTCTCATTCAATTTCAGTACTTTGGACAATTTAAAAGCTCCTTTTTGAAGCCGAAGCATATAATTAGAGTGGAAAAGAAGAAGGTTCATGTCGCCAAGATCAGACATGGGAAAGGGAAACAAAGCTAAACAAACAAGAAGAATAAAGAAGTAAAAGGTTCAAGACAACTTTCAGATTTATCTGTTAAACTTTAGGTATCATGAGGAGGTAAAGTGATGCAAAAATTCCAGGAACCTCTGCTGCATATATATTCAGTATGTGATATCAATGTTCATCATTTTCAACGTGAAACTTTTATTTTTAACTCTTGAATTATAGCTCAAATACTTTGTAATGTCTATGTGATATTTAAAATGTACAAATTAACCAAGGATACAGGTGCAACGCACGTGTCCAGAAACTAGTTATTGGAATTGCACGAGGACTTCTCTATCTTCATCAAGACTGAAGACTGCGGATAATCTACAGAGATCTTAAACCTAGAAAGGACGTACGTCTCTTTGCATTTAATGAGTCGAACACGTGTTGTCCCGCAATTCGACGAACAGTTTTGCCATTTATCTAGGTAATGATGACTTTATACTTAGCCGCCTATAAACTTCTCCTCTTTTCACCAATTTTTATCTTTCACTTTTACAACTTTCTGCTTCGAGCCTTCTTAAAACTTCTCTGCAACTCCCCTTTTCTAAGTAAATAATACAAATTCGTATTTCTCATCACCATGTCTTCTACTATTTCTTCCTTTGGCAACACATCTTCTACCCCTAAACAACATAGCTTTATTTTAACTTCTTCATCCACCGGCACCGAGGCTTGCATTGGTGGCAATCCATCCAAGAAGAACAAGTCTAAGAAACCTGAAGCTAGAGCTTCTACTACAAACACAATCATCCCTTCTCAGTTGTCTTTCAAAAAGGATCTTCAGGTCCAAAAAGAATCTTTCGACCTTGATGATGACAGAAACAAAGCTATTGGTGAATATCCTTTATCTCTTCGCCCGATCAGTATTCCTATTGTAAAAGAAGACTGTGAATGGAAGAACATTGAAGTTTTAGCCCCTCGTGAAGTGGAGAGGATTACATTCAGCAGACCAAGGTATATTTTCGTTTACACCTACCCTTTTTCTTTAAGACTTGGCAAGGAAATACACCCAATCATCTTGGAGTTTTGTTGGAACTATCAAGTTTGTTTGGCTCAAGTGAGACCGATGATATGGAGCACAGTGGATTGCCTATGATACCTGTGTTCCCGGGCTCAAGAAGACCTCTCTTGCACACATGATCACTCTCTATGCCCCTAAAATTTTCTGAGAAGGTGTGATCAAACTCAGCAAATGCGGTCACAATGCCATCGTCACCAGCGTAGATGATGATAACGATGGTGGATGGATGGAGAGGTTTGTTGTTGTTTCTCCCGGGGATACTTTACCGGTATCAACATCTCCCATCCTCTGTCACGACCCCAAATTCCCTCCGTAGGATATCGTAATGGCACCTAGTCTCTAAGACTAGGTAAGCCTATCAATGCGGAATAATAATAAATATC